GATTAAAATTTAATACGTATACTATATTGTTGAATATTTGTATATTATTATTATTTTTTTTTTTTTTTAATTTCTGTTATCGTATTGTTTTTTTTTATACTTTTCTAAAATAACTGTCAACAAAAAAATTTAATTTTAATTTATTACAGATTTTCTCATAATGACAGTTATTATCAATGTTATTTAAATTTTTTTTTTTTTTTTTTTAAAGACTGAAATAATTGTTTTCAAAGATCAAAGTTCTTTTCTTTTTTTTTTTAAATTTTTTTTATATTATTTTCTTAATATATTTAATGTTATTAATGAAATAATAATAATTTTATAAAAAATTCTTTAAAAATATATTTTTTATTACTTTTTTAAAAAAAAAAAAAAAAACCCCTTTGTTATAATTGCAACGTTTTGTTGCTCATATTTGGTATTTTAAATAAAAAAATTAAACAATAAATTTAATAAAAAATTTTCTTTTCTTTTTTTTTTTTAATTTTAATTACCTTTTAAATGATTTCATATTAAAAAAAAATTTTTTTAAAGTTTTACTTAATGGGTTGAAAAATGTTCTGAAAACTTAAAGTTAGTTCTGTTAGTACAATGGTCCACACTGATCTACCTAACGGTCATCTTAAAATTTATTAAATTTAAGAAAAAAATTTAAATTAATTTCTTTTGTTTATTAGTATGAAGAGTAATAAAATAATCTCGATTTAAATTAAAACCATTTATAAAAAATTATTATAAATAATTTTACCGAGTGTATTGTAAATAGTGAACATAACCTAACCAGGTCAAGTTTTGAAATAGTTAAAATGCAAGGTTTCAAAAGTAAGTTAAAAAATGTCTCATAAATTTTATTTTGTTTAAAACAAATATCGGTAACTTGACGAAATTATCTTAATATTATCTAAAAATATTAATTGTATGATATGTAATATGTAATATTTTATTTACAGTATTAGAAGTCAAATTATCAGAAAAAAGTATAGCTTCCCATTTATTTTATGTAAAACAGCACAATGTGAGAGAAAAAATACCAGAAAAACCTCCTGATAAAACATTATTTGTCACTGGAATTCCTCCTTATTTTACAGAGGTAATAATCAAATTTAAAAAAAAAAATTTTACAACTACCAGTTTAAAATAAATATTAATAAAAAAAATACTTACAGGAATGTTTGACTCGATTGTTTAACATTTTCGGAGAAGTAAAGTCTGTTTATAT